TGAGGCTGTGAGGCAGAGGAGGCCCTGCGACCAGGCCCAAAGGCAGAGAGGTCAGGGGCCTGGAGGGCCCAGTGCACCCAGATAAGAATGACCCTGGAGGAAGGAGAGCTGGGAGAGCTCTGCATCCCCAGGCTCTGCATCCAAGCGCTCACGTGACTCGGGGAGGTTTTGGCCTCTATTGTACTGTTTATATATCTGCAATCTTTGGCATTCACACCGGGCCTACCTGCTCACTGGATTATTTACCGTTGATGCATCCCTGGTCTCATCTTGATCCTGTTTGGATTGAGATGCAATTCTCTGATCCCTGGGGAAATGTATAGCAACTCTGCATAATCATATAATATAGTATCTGAAAGACTTACATTCTGACCCTTAAAAGAATCCTGTGGTCAGTCCATTTCCAACAATATTGGCTTAAAAGGGTGTAAGTCAAAGTGCAGGGGATTGTCTGACACCCAAGAGTAACAACTAAAATATGGTGGCCATTTGACTTTCTCAGGAGGTAGACCAAGGCTGAACTTGTGTACTGGACAATCTCATGCATGCTTTGGATTTTAGATTTTGGCAAATGAGGCCCATCCTGATATCTTCCCTCAAATGTCATTGCTATGTTTGGGCGCCATATTTCTTGCTTCTTATGAATCAATGAAGAGACTATCTTTCCATTCAAGGCATAAATAACTATAAGGGTCTAATTTTTTTAAAAAATTGTTAAGAATGTTAGGTAGAAAGATAGATATAAGCAGCCAGAAAAGGGGAAGATAAGGTTCAAAGAAAAAGCTGCTCAAACTCTGCCCAGGCAGGGCATCCCATGTGAAGACAACAAAGCCTTTCGGGGAGATGACTTCCTCCACAACCAGATCCCAATGGGTGCACAATCGAACAGAACTAAGAATTGCCCAAATGACACCTCAGCATGGAGAAAGGACATGCTCACTGGAGGGATGACTATACAGAAAGACCTGTAAATCACATTACCCCACCTTGTCAATCAAAGAGGTGCCTCCTAACTAGAAAGCAGTATATAGGCCTCTCCCCTAACAGATGGAGGCCTTTGTCTACTTTGACTCTGGGCTGCTCCTCCCTTGGAGTATATTCAAATAAAACTTTCCCTCTGTTTCACTATTGTGTCCCTGCCTTTCAATTCTTTGTTGCAGCGGGACAAGGACCAAGGGGAATGAACTCAACCCATAAAAAAATTGAGACCTACCTTTTTCCATCTTGATAAGGTTTATCATCATTAAAGGTAAAATGTGAAGCATACATACCTTGTTATGATAGAGAAAACAATATGAGCTAGACGATGTTTCCAAAGATGGTGACAACAGTCTCTCTCATCATGAAGTGGAATCTATTTTTCTTCCCCTTGAATCTGGGCTGGTACTGTGAATGCTCTGACCAATAGAATGTAGCAGAAGTAATGTTCTAGGACTTCCAAGACCAGGCATTTAGCAAGCCTCAACAGCTGCTGCTTCTCACTCTGGGGAAAGCCAGCCACCATATAAGAAGAGACCACAGCATAGTTTCTATGGAGGAAGCTATGTGGCAAGAGAGTGATCCCTGGCCAATCCCTACATATTCAGCCAGTCCCAGCTGGGGTACCAGACCTGTGAATGAAAAAATGCCCCCTAGGAAGTTCCAATCCCTTGGACACCACATGGAACAGAGATGAGCTATCCTCAATGAGCCCTGCCAAACCTGTATGATCATGAGCAAATAAATGATTGTTGTTTTAAGATGCTAAGTACTGGGATGGTTTTAAAAACACCAACAGGTAACTGAAACACAAAGCTAAACACCAGAAGGGCCCATACCATGCAGATCAGCCTTCTCTAAACCACAGAAGAGTTTTTGGGGGATAACACTTTAAAAAATCTTACCTCAGGAATCATTTGCTTTCTGTTTACTCTCTTGACACTGACTTGTAATCTTCCCACCTAATGCCTCCTTATCCCAGTGGGGCAACAAAGGGGAGGAGGAGGGGGTGTGGGAGAAGTCTGCCCCTATCAGGGAGAAGTATTTTATCACTGTATGTTGTTTGGAACTGTTGGAGCATGAAAATGACAAAAAACAAAGTGACTTTTAGTTTTATTAATTTTTGTTTTTGGTATCATTAATCTACAATTACATGAGGACATTATGGTTACTAGACTGCCCCCATCATCAAGTCCCCACCACATACCCCATTACAGTCACTGTCCGTCACTACTTGTCTTCTCTGTGTTTTACAGCCCTCCCCGTGCCCCCCCATTTTATGTCTGCTTAGTTTTATTAATTTTAAAAAACTCTTTATAGACACACACAGAAACTCACTGCTTATTGCCTGCACCCAGAGTGGATTGCTCTCACTGGGTCCCTCCTTGTATGCCGCTAGTTTACATACTTACATGCAGTGAGACTCCAGAGTAATGTCAGCTCCACAGCACAGAGCTGTCTGAACACAACCAAGCTGTCAAATCACACAGCTACAAACCAGTCTCTCATCTGGTGGCTGACAAAGACCCAGCCAGGTTCCTTGCCTGGGCAGATCCAGTGAATCCAACCATCCTTTAATTCAAAGGATAATTCTCTGTGGGTTGCTATAGTACCCACTTCCAGGCTGTCTCCCTGCTGTGGGGGTGATCCTTTTCCCATCTGTCAGAGTCCTCCTGTCCATTTTCCATGGAGCTGAATACACTCTTCTATCTACCCTGACAAAAGGGATTCAACCTCGAGTTTTGTTCCGAAGGGCCACAGGACACATTTATGCCAACATCCTGAAACAATACAGCTAATGCCCTGCCTCCTGCTTTTCAAAGGCAAAAGCTGTGGCCATTGCCCTGCCAGCTGCATCAAGGCTGCTAAAGAGTGTTGTCTCCTACCAAGCTGCAGGTGGGGTGTCCCAGAGGGTGGCTATTCAGGGCAACCTGGGCTCACAAAGCAACAAGGTGTACAGTCTGTACTGAGGAGAATCTGAAAGTGAAGTCTGCCCAGGTGGTTTTCAATCTATCTATCAGCAATTATGGTCAGCTGGGCTTCTACCGTCCATTCAGGATGTTGTCAAATATCTGGGAAAGACAGGAGGATTTTTTTTAAATTTTGGTATCATTAATCTACAATTACATGAGGAACATTATGTTTACTAGGCTCCCCCCATCACCAAGTCCCCCCAACAAACCCCATTACAGTCACTGTCCATCAGCATAGTAAGATAATATAGAATCACTACTTGTCTTCTCTGTGTTGCACAGCCCTCCCCGTACCCCCCACACACTATACATGGTAATCATAATGCCCCCTTTCTTCTCCCCCCACTTATCCCTCCCTTCCCATCCATCCTCCCCAGTCCCTTCCCCTTTGGTAACTGTTAGTCCATTCTTGGGTTCTGTAATTCTGCTGCTGTTTTGTTCCTTCAGTTTTTTCTTTGTTCTTATACTCCACATTTGGTGCTTGTCTTTCTCCGCCTGGCTTATTTCACTGAGCATAATACCCTCTAGCTCCATCCATGTTGTTGCAAATGGTAGGATTTGTTTTCTTCTTATGGCCGAATAATATTCCATTGTGTATATGTACCACATCTTCTTTATCCACTCATCTACTGATGGACACCTAGATTGCTTCCATTTCTTGGCTATTGTAAATAGTGCTGCGATAAACATAGGGGTGCATCTGTCTTTTCCAAACTGGGCTGCTGCATTCTTAGGGTAAATTGACAGGAGGATTTTTTTAACTGCATTTTAGAAGAACAATTACTTGGCATTCCAGTGAAATCTACTGTCCTAAGAGAAGGAAAGAAACACCTGTCTTCAGAAAGCTTGGAACAGAGGGAAGCAAGAGGTTTGGTGAACTCAACTTCCTGAGATAAAAATGGAAAACAGTCATCTAACTGCGCTGTCAGTTACCATATCGGGAAGAAGTCAGAAATGATACCAGGGCCCTATGTGTAATAGCTTTTCAAGACCTTACATCCACATGAGTGGATAGGATTTTTTTTTAACCCTATATCCACATGATAATTAGAACTAAAATCCTTATAATGAAAAGAGTCTGTGTTCTGACTGAGGCACCAAAGGAGGAGGGAGGCGGAAGCAGTGTTGGGGAAGAGCCCTCAGGAGCCGTGCAGCATACACGGGACTGGGAGTGATTGATGCCAGTCCCCCAGACATGAAACAGTTTCTCCAGTTTCTGTAAAGCCCTGACTAAATTTAAGGGCTTTCTGCCCTTCTCAGAAGGATGACACAGTCAATATGACTGCCACTTATGTAAGCTACAAACTGCCTATGTAGTCTGCCTGTTTAAGGAAAACTTGTTTTCACTGGAATTAACTATTTTAAATATCCATTTTTGTAAGATTAATTTGTGTTCTTAAATATCCAGCGTTTCATGGCTTTGGGAAAGCCAGACCTGTGCATGGTGACAATCTGAGGCAAGAGGGTTTTTGATTTCTATACTTTTGGGGCCTCTTCTCCCTCTTTACTCTTCTTTGATAGGAGTAATCATTTCTCTCTGTAGAGCAGAGGGAGGCTATGAATAGTATATCCCCATAAATATTGGACATTGTCCACCCATTCACTCAGGCCTATTGTGTTCACAGCATCCATCCATTCATTCAATAATTATTCCATGAGCATCTCCTCTATGCCAGGCACCAGAGATACAACAGTCAACAAAATAAACTCTCAGCCCTGAGGAAGCTTCTATTTAGTGGAGGGTATAAAACAAGCAAGTAAATATATCATTTAATGAGTGCTGTGAAGAAAAACAAAGTTGGGTGAAGGCTTAGAGAGGCTGGGGAGAGGTAGGATGGTCAGGCAGGCTTTTTCTGAGGAGGTGGCATTTGAGCAGCAAGGATGGGAGGGCATGAGAGGAAGAGGCAGCCCAGGCAGCCAGAAGAGCTAATGCAAAGGCTAGCAGCAGAACAGTCCTTGTGCTCAAGGCATAGACTGTTAGGCTCAACAGTGCCACTGAGAATTTGCTATGATCTAGCATCTGATGGTTTATGCTATGGTATTCCATAGGTCTGTGAGTTGAAGAGGACTATCCACGAAACTTTTAATACCTTTGAGTCTTTTGGATTTTGCAACACTTCTGGAAAGGCATATGAGAAGTAAGTTTTCATGTTTGTCATTATAACATTGACCTAAATTTCAGAGCTCTGATAACAGGTCTCACAGAACCTGGATTTTCTCACAAAAGGCCTCATGTAATCAACTGTGTTGCATGTTGGGAAGACAACCACTTTGGTGCATGTGCTATTGGTAAGGGAGGAAGGAATAGAAAATAGCAGAGTTCCTGCTCTATTATGAGAACAGTTACTTATCTTCTGAGTGCTTCAGTTTCCTCTACTGTAAAAGAGAGAAAAGAATGTCAACTTAGAGAGAAATGAAAGCAGGAAGGCCTGAGACATGTGGGAGTTCAATAAATGTTTGTTCTCACCAGCACATAGACCTTTTCCTAAGGATTTTATGTTAAGGATTTTATTTCTAATCACCCTGTGGAAATAGGATTTTTTTTTTTTAAAGGAAAAAACTAAAACTTAAAAGCTTTACTAGCTTCTGAGAACTTGAGCTCCAAAAAACCAACAAGGTTGCAAGCAAAATAGCCTCATCTCCTTGAATAAGTCTCTATTTGCCCCTACCTAACCTGCATTTTGTATTATTTGAATGTTTTAAACCAGAGTTTGAAAAGTAAGTCCCTCCCCAGCATGTAGTGATATACTTGAGTTACTTTACCTGCTCAAACACAAGTGCAGTTGAAACCAATCTGGAAGCCATAATGTCCAGAATTAAGAACAGCATTTAAAGTGAGAAGAAATTGCACCAAATGGTTAAGAGAACTAGTTTTGGAATCAGACCTTAGTGCAAGCTATATGACCTTGGGTTTGATCTCTTTTGGGCTCACTTTTCTCATCTATAAAATGTGGATAAGAATGTCTGATGAGGTGCTTCTGAGGTGAGACCACGCAGGTAAAGCATTTACTATAATGCCTGGCACTACGGCACGAGCTTACTAAAATATTTTCAGTGTAAACTTAATGTACTGAGTTCCACAACCTCCAGGAGAGTCACATGTAAGACAGTGGGTCAGGGAAGGCCTCTCCAGATGAATTTTGAGCCAAGCCCTGAATGATGTAAAAGAGCAAGTAGGGTCTGTGAAGCTCTGCCCAGGGACTCAGAGCAGAGGCGGGAGGAAGTGGGCGTGAAGGGCCCCACAGGTGTGCAGCCGCAGTGTGGCTGGAGGGTGGGAAGGGAGGGCTATGGAGGGAGATGGGGTCAGAAAGGTCATGAGGCAACTTGCAAGCAAGGATGAGAAGTTTGGATTTCATTCTAAATGTGATGTACGTTTAGAGACAGTAAATTAGGGACAGTAGTGTGGAGTTTCAGACAATTTGAGCTTGAAATGCCTTTTGGGTATCCAAGGGGAAGTGTTTTGGGCAATTTAATATTTAAGCCTGGAGCTCAAGGGACAGATGGGGGCTGGTGATGTAAAAGTGTGACTTACCAGCTTTTTAATAATGTTCAAAGCCACAGAACTGGATGGGACGACCTAGTGAGAGACTGTGGAGAGGAAAGAGGGCTGAGGCCAGGGACTGGGCCTCTGACATTTAGAAGAAAGATGAGGAATGCTCAGCAAAGCAGAGTGGGAAGGAGCAGCCAGTGAGGGGAATGAAAGATCGGAGGGAGCAAATGTGGGATCTGCGAGGTGCCTCCAGAAGGGAAGAGCGAGCTGTGTGGAGGAGCCGAAAGTGGCAGGCCAGCGCCAGCGGCACTTCTGTGTGAGCAGCTCTGTGTGCTGGTGACTGTGGGTTCCTCACTGCAGCGGGTTGGCAAGAGGAAGTGCAGTCACGAAGAGACTAGGAGATGAGGCCGCGGAGACAGAAAGCCTAAGTACCTGGTTTGCTAGGGTTGTCTAACAGAGCCCCAGACTGGGTGGTTTAAACCCCAGATACTTATATCCTCACAGTTTTGGAGGCTGGAAGTCCAAGGTCAAGATGTCGGCAGGACTGGTTTCTCCTGAGGTTTCTCTCCCTGGCTTACAGACAACTGCCTTCTTTTTCTCCCTTTGTCCCTCTGTCTTACCTCTGTCTGTGTTGTCTGTGTCCTAACGTCCTCTTCTGGTAAGGATATCAGTCAGCCCACTAAGACTGCCTTGGGTTAGCCTAATTGCCCCTTTAAAGGCCCTACCTCCAAATACAGTCACATTCTGAGGGGCTTAGGGCTTCCACACTTGGTGGGGGGTTAGAGAGGGGCACAATTCCGCCCAGAACACTAAGCAATTCTGTTTTAGGAATTTTTCTGTGAAGGAGAGAAAAAGATCAAAGTAGAACTAGAGGCAAATGAGGAGATGGGGATGTTTTGTCTATATTTTGAATTTTTACTATGTGAGAAGTTCTAGCCACTGGTGTTGCTGGTGAGAACGGCATGAAGAAAAGCTAAAACTGTGGCTGCAGAAGAAAGGGGTGTTCCCACGGCAGCAGAGTCCTCAAATACCTGAGAGGTGCGGGGGGGGGTCAGGAGCTGCTAAATGTGCTAAGTGAAATAAGTCAGAGAAAGACAAATACTATGATTATATGTGGATTCTAAGAATCAAAAAACAGAAACAAAACAGAAATAGATTCATTGGTATGGAGAATAAACTGATCGTTGCCATGGGTGTGGATGGTGGGACAAAAATAGATGAAGGAGATAAAGAGGTACAAACTTTCAATTAAAAAACAAATTAAGACATGGAGATAAAAGGTACCACATAGGGAATATAGTCAGTAATATTGTAAGAGCTTTGTATAGTGACAGATGGTAACTACATTGATTGTGGTGAGCATTTCGTAATGTATATAATTGTTGAATCACTATGTTGTACACCTGAAACCAATATAATATTGTATATCAACTATACTTCAATAAAAGAAGAAAAGTGGTGTTGAATGACTTACCTGGATCACCAACTTGTGAGTGGTGGAGCTTGCACTAGACTCCAGGCATTCTAACCCTGAGACTCACTGACCTACCAAGTACATTTCAATACCTGTTCTGGGAGCAGCAATAATCACAGCAATCCCCCAAGAAGGAAGCAGAGGAACACATTGGAGGAACCTCATTTGCATAGGAATTAGAACTGTCAGGGCTACCTTCTATCCCGGCACTCAGGGCTGGGGCAAGGGTCAGGGAAGTCATACATTCACAGAAGGGGAAGGAGGAGAAAAAGGTGAGACTCTCTTTAACCGACTGATGAACTATAAAACACCTTCAGCAAGTCCAGTTCTAAAAGTGGTTAAATATTTTGAATCTGTGGCCCAACATTGGCCTGTTTATTTGAACTGAGGTTGGCTTCAGGTCACCACCTTTCAGACTGTTACATCGTCAGCTTTTCATATGCAGATTGTACCTCTTTTATCAGGGCCAAGGAACATGTGGCTTTGGGATTTTGCTTCTACAAACTCTCTTATCATAGCACTTGCATGTTGGAGCCCAGATGTTAAACAAATCAATTGGTAAATAAACCTTGGCTTCACATTTTGTACAGACAAATTTAACACACACACACACACACACACGCACGCACACACACACACGCTCTCTTAGTTACTGCACAGCCTCTGTCATGGAGTCTCTGCCTGAAAACACTCATACTTTTTTTTGTTGTTGTTAACAGCTTTATTAAAATATCATTCACAGGTCATAGAATCCATCCAATTAGAGTATAATTCATTGGATTTTAGTGTATTCATAGACGTCTCAACACTTGCTTCTTGACAGTGTGGCTCTGATGTGAGTAGACAGGTCAGTCTCTCACTGTTGGTGGGCTCTGCTATTATAGTTCTGGTGATTTCCAAACCTGAGAAGGTGATCTGAAAGAAATGTGAATCTGACTGTGACTTCCCTGGTGCCTAGTGAGCAGCTGATGAACTATCCAAGTTCACCAGTAAAAAAGCCTTTGTGTTTTTTTACATGGGTGACTGTTGTGGAATGAATAAACATGGAACTGAGTGAGCAGGTTTTAATACAGTGAGCGATGGGCACTCTAAATGGTGCTCAGACAATGGCATCTCAGTATTTTTAATCCAAATGGCAGAACACCAAATCCCTTGTATTTGTTTCACATTTTCTTTCCAACCCTCTTCCCTAAATGCTCCGTTCATTATCCTCCAAGTGTTTATTTTGAAACCACATATGTCCTCCTTCCTCTCATGGAAACCACCTGTAGCAGCAGCCACTGGGGCTGCTGCAAGCATTTGTTTTTGATAACAGTGTATTTTGAACGTCTGTGGTTTCAATTTCTATTTTTGTCCCTTACTGTCGTAACTTTTCGATCTCTTCATACCTTTTATGGGTAGTTTTGCTTTTCCCAGGCATTTGTACTCTGCTGAATATGCCAGCTACATAAACAGTGAGCCTAGAACTTGTACAATTTCAAAATCAGTACAATGGTCCAATGACTTACAGTTTTCAATATGTCCTTGTAACAATTTAGTGAATGAAGTCAGCGTAACTATTATCCCCATTAGAAAACTAAGGCCTCCTGGCTAGCCAGTAACAAAGATTACAGTAAAAATTGGGTGATTGGAATTCTAGTCTAGGATGTTTTTCCTACCATAATACCAGCCATCATGTATGCCTATGGTTCTCCAGCTTTGGCTGAATGAGAATCATCTAGAGGGCTTGTTACACCACAAATTGCTGGGCTCCATGCCAAGCACTTTTGATTCAGTAGGTCTGGGGTGGGGCCCAGGAATATTCTCATTCACACCCATGCTTCCTCACTTTCTCCCTTGCCTGCCCCTTCTCAGCTTCCCTTGCAACTAGGAGTGGTCATGTGACATAGTTCTGGCCAGTGGGATGCAAGCAGAAGTCTTCTGGGAAAACCTGTGCTTTCCTGATAAAAAGAGACGTACTTGGCTCTTCACCCATCCTAGTTCTTTTTGCTTAGAATGTATATGCAATGCTTGGAGGGACAGCAGCCATCTTAAGACCAACACATTAAAATCAGGATAGAAAGATCAAAAGAGGCTGGGTCTCTGACAGCCATGGGTTACTTACCTCTAGACTTTTTTTTGCATAAGTAAAGTGGCTCAGTTTAAGCCACACACAGGTTCTTTGTTACTTGCAG